GGCAAAGCTGTGGGAACCTTGCGAACCTTGGGGGAACCTTGTGGGGCAAAGTTGTGGGGACCTTGTGGAACAAAGTTGTGGGAACCTTGTGGAACAAAATTGTGGGAACCTCGTAGGAACGTTGGAGCAAAGCTGTGGGAACCTTGGGGGAACCGGACAAAGTTGTGGGAACCTTGGAACCTTGTGGGAACCTTGGAAGAACCTTGTGGGGCAAAGTTGTGGAACGATGTTGTTGGCACCTTGAGAGCCTTGTGGTGCAAAGTTGTGGGAACCTTACCTTGCAAAAAAGTTGTGGGAACCTTGTAGGAACCTTGAAGCAAAATGGGCAAAGTTGTGGGAAGCTTGTGGGAACCTTGCAGCAAAGTTGTGGGAACCTTGCGCGAACCTTGGAGCAAAGCTGTGGGAACCTTGGGAACCTTGGAGCAAAGTTGCGGAACAAAGTTGTGGGAACCTTGGGAACTTTGGGAACCTTGCAGGAACCTTGCAAGAACCTTGGGAACCTTGTGGGAACCTGGCGGGAACCTTGGAACCTTGTGGGAACCTCGTGGGAACCTGGGGGAATGTCTTTGGGAGCTGCTCCGGCTTGCTCCGAAACCTTTACTATGGCTGAAGACCCCAAAGCATGCTGCTGTTGGGGAAAAATCAATGGAGCCACAAGTTGATCTTGTCCAAGGACGCTACTAGGGGCTCCTGGCCTTACTACTAGGAGCAAGAAGCTACTAGGAGCAAGGGCATCACTACTAGGGGCTCCTGGCATCGCTACTAGGAGCATTCTTACTACCGATGAACCTTTTACCGGTAACTGTAACGGGTGTTTCAGGCGGTGTTGAATCGCATGTGTTGCCAAAGAGTCCTGGGCCGAAATACACGCGCTCAAAGATCTCAGTGAACTGATGCGCGGTGACTGGGTGGATCTTGTTCATGGGAGTTCCGCAGTCCTTAGAGGCTTGGAGTTCAGTCGAGTCAAAAGAGCTTTTCTTGTTGGCCGACCTCCTTTTGTATTTAAAGCCCGGGAGGTAGGAACTAGCTAGAGGTAGCTAGTAGTAGCTAGGTAGCTACTAGTAGCTTAAGACGCTACTAGTAACTGGACGCAGGATAGCTCACGCTCGCACTAATGATTTGGTTGGGAAACTTAATGAATAGCCATTGCATAAATCACGAAATGAATCACGAATCATGAAACGAATCACAATTCACAAATCACCCGGAGTAACGGATCACGCGGCTGAATCACGACTTCCGGATTCCGGATCACCGCAGATTAATGTCTGCACCGTTTTTAAAAGTGGTGTTGATGTGTTGATTTCCTTTAGGATTCCTTTTGATCTCGATTGATTACCTTTGAACGTGTTTTACAATTTTTGTTAGCTTCCTTTATTAATAGTATGATACTGCAAACAACTATTCCGCAAAGAGGGTAGCTCAGTACACTAGAAATCTTGATGATTATCGCCCCCTATAAATAGTGTCTTCTCTTTAGGTCTTTAATTAAAACACCTCCTGACTCCTGACCTCCTTGAATAATTTCTACGCTTTTACATTCCTCTTGATTTCCTTTTAGCTCCTGCTGATGTCGTCTTTAATTCCTTGTGATTTCCTTTTGATTCCTTTCTTTTTATTTCCTTTTGATTTCCTTCTATTTGCTTTTGATTTCCTTTTATTTCCTTTTGATTTCCTTTCGATTCCTTTTGATTTCCTTTTGATTTCCTTTGGTTTCCATTTATTTCTGTTTGCTTCTTCCAGATTCAATTTATAGTCAGGAGTCTCATAGATTCGACTAGGGGGGGTGTTCACGCTAATCAAGAGTCGACATTACTAGAGACTGCCTACTCAATTGAGTAAGGAGTAAACATGAAACTAGTAGCTGGACACAGGATAGCTCACGCTGAGGAAGCTTGCTTGAAGAAGCGCTCGCAATACCAATTTGGTTCCTAGATGACTATGACATAACGTTCTCCAGTCATTTTTACAAGCGTGTGATGCATCTCCCAATGGCACAAGATTGTCGAGTGATGTCGAGTGTCTGTGTTCACGCCACCCCAGTAGAAGTTGTCGCCCACATTGATAAAGAGGTCGGGCTTTGTGTCTGGTGCTCGCTTCTTGATGGCATCGGCAACCTTGACCTGCGCCCGAGTCAAGATTCCTGTCGTTTCGACTGTGTGAAACACATACTCCTGCCGCAGCCTGCCTGTGCTCTGTAGTCGATTTCCGGCGAGTAGTGGCAGCTTTTGGGGCAGTCCTGCGAAGCTGCAATCAACACACCCTTTCCAAGCGGGCGTCACCAGTGCTCTTCGCCTGACCACCAAAGCAGCCCATCATCGTGTCTGTGTCACAGGAGCCACGCCATCTCGCCATGGTGTGTGGCCCTCCTGTGTGACCTCCTCGATACCTCGAAAGCAAAAAGCTACTAGTAGCAAAGGGCATCGCTACTAGGAGCAAGGACGCTACTAGGGGCTCTTGGCCGTACTACTAGGAGCATTCTTGCTACTAGTAACAAGAAGCTACTAGTAGCTAGAAGCTATTAGGTGGAGGTCTGTTGGATGCTCGGTGACGCCGCGGACGCCACCGCGGAATCACCGAGTCGAGTGCTGACGAAGCACTGAATCATACTCCCGGGATTAGTTCCCACGAGGGAACCCCAGTCACCAATGGCATAGATGTGATGCTCCTTTGGAGGGAGCGCCAATCAGAACACGTCTAATGAAAAAGAGATGAACAATGAAAAAAAATGGAAAAAAAGTAAGGGCCCTTCTGTTCAAGGGCCCGATTTCAAGGGGCCCAAACTCCTTCTCTTTGTTTGTTGCTGCTACTTGGCTGTCCTTGTCCTCGGTGATCTTCATGGCAGGCCATTCAACACCATTGTACTGCTGCACGGTTTTGGGGGGGTCCATGCCACCTCGACGACCAACCTTCAAGACACTCGGTCCCTGGTAGGCTGGTGCCTCATAGGTGTCTGCGCTTGCACCACCACAGCTAGGACCACCTGAAAGATTGGGCAAGAATGGCAAGCTATTAGAAACAAGTGCATCGCTACTAGTAACAAGGGCATTACTACTAGGAACAATAATGTTTGCTATTAGGTTGGAGATGGTTGGAGCACATCGCTAGGTTGGAGGCCATCACTGTAGGTTGGAGGCCATGGCTCGTAGGTTGGAGGTCGTAGGTTGGAGGCCATCCCTCCTAGGTTGGAGTCGGAGGTTGGAGGCCATTCCTCCTAGGTTGGAGGTCGTAGGTTGGAGGCCATCCCTCCTAGGTTG